AACTCAATCTCCTTGTTAGCGATTTCTGGAAAATAACAACACGCGTGTTTTGTCTTCTTTTTTTTAACTTTATTTTAAATAAAATACTTTTAACTTTCGTCTTTTCATCATATTTCATGACCACACATTTGTTCTTTTAACAATACGTAAACATAGTTAAAATAACACGATTAATCAATTTTAAAATGAAGTGATTTGATTACAATTTCCATTAATGTCAGTTTAAAACAAGTGAGATATCTTCGGTGACTTTTGATAATCTGTCAATTGATAATATCTATTTAGAAATTTACCTGGCACACAGCCAAATTATGAACAAAATTTTAAGTTGTGTTTTATTTTTCATTTATATTTACTTGATAAACAAAGTGTTAAATCAATACAAACTAAATGACTTGCATATTCAAACTAAATGACTTGCTTATTCAAACGTTATTTTCGTATTATTTGAAAATCGCGTTTGAAAAAATACTTTGATGCATTAATACAGAGCTGTAATACTTTACTATAAAATAGTAAAATATGCTAAAATATATTTTATTAACTGCATTTTAAAATATATTATAGTTAATGTTCAATATATTTTAAAATACTATAATATAAAAAAAGTTGTGTCGAGAATTTTATATATTTAGTAAAGAAAGCGTAAAATAAAAATGATTAAAAGGAAATGATATATTTATTGAACTCAAAGCTGTTTGTAGAGTTATTAAAATTAATAAAAAAGGATTTAGTTTTAAAATGTTAAGATTTCTATTTTTTAAGTAAGTTTTTTTTCTTCTTTTTTTTATTGTTCTTGGACGTAAATTAAGTAAATTTATCATTACAGGGTTACACGCTTATGCTTACAGTTTATTTTCGTCGCCGCATTAACGCAAAATATCGTGCTAGCCGCGTTTTACTTTAGCAATTTTCTTCCATTTCGGTCTTCCGGTCAAACTATTTACTTTAAGTTAACTTTAGAATTTACTCTTCAAAACGGTAAGTCTGAAAATTGCATTTATTATTTCCTCCTCTTAAATGACATTTTGCACGGTAGCACGTTTCATCGCGTAATTTTAATTTTTTGTTGTTTTTTCCCTCTAACATAGTTCCGGAATCCTTACCACAAGTGACGTGTTTAATTGATTATAAGCTTACTAATTCATAAAACGTTGAATGGAGTTTGATTAATTATATTTGATAAAAAACCTAGTTATTTTTATTTTATCTCCAAGTTTTAGAACCAAATATTATAAGGAAAATGGAGCCGAGTTCTACACCGAAAATAAAACAAGTTTTAACTGTAGTATTTTAAACTGGTTTTATAATTTTTCAACCTAATTGGTTTTAATTTACCGCAGAATATAGAATAGAAGTTGTAGAAAATAAAATCAATTTTTTAACAAATACAGATTCGATTTGAAAGCGATGGTAACGGTTTTTAATTTGCTTTCACTTCATTCTTTTTCATCTGAACTTTGGTGACAAAGTATGAAAACCTTTTTTAACTTAATAAATAGAAAAATAATTAAATAATTATCACATGACGTGTAATTTATTTTTCTTAGAATACTTTCTCAAGACATCTATTCAAATTTCAAACAATTTTTCTTACTTTACACAGATTGCAGAGCTGGGTGGGCTACTGCCTTGCATTTGTATTTAAGCTATTGATTCAATGTGTTAAAATTACTAAATATTGCAAAGTTTCGTATAAAAAATATATATATAAAATTTAGCTAATTTAAGTGTGTTAATAGCTTTATTTTTTTTTTGTCAACACATTTGATGCTAGTATTCAATTGGCAGTTATTTAAATGGTCGAAATTTGAAACGAGTATGTCTAGATTTTAAAATGATTGGTTGTGCCAAAAGAAGTTTTTCTTTCTTAATTTTTTTTCTTGTCAAAGACATTTTTCAACTTATCAATTTAATTTTTCTTTTATTATTAAAAGCCGTTCTTTTTAATTCAGGATATCTTTAAGCAAAATCGTTAGCATCATATATATATATATATATATATATATATATATATATATATATATATATATATATATATATATATATATATATATATATATATATATATATATATATATATATATATATATATATATATATATATATATATATATATATTTAGATGGCTAGTATGTATGGCCGCCCTTTGAGGTAACAAATATCAAAGAAAAAAAAATCAAATTTTAATTTTTAATTTATATTTACAAAATTACATCTAACATTAATATTTACAAATTAAAATATAATTAAAAGTTAACCCGACGCGATTTTATGGAAGCAAATTGTTCATCGCTTCTTGAATATTTAACAAATCAGCAATGTCACTTTCTATTGCAATAATTAAAATATTACTGAGACGTTCTTGTGAAACTAATGTTCTCAGGTAATTTTTAAGTATTCTCATATTTGAAAAACTTCGCTCTCTTGAAGCAACGGAAACTGGAATTTTTAGCAAGATTTCAAAAAGACGTCTCTAAGTTTTATTTATATAAAAGATTTAGGAGTTTTTTGGGCTGTTTTTTGTCTTTTACGATTATTTTCAAAGAAATTATTATTATTTCTTGATACAACTCCGCGCTATTGCACAGTAGGCCAAAATCATTATTAGCTTGACAAAAGTAATAACTTTTAAAATATTAATCAGATTTTCCCCATAACTGCCAGGTTGAATATATTTCATACTACAAATTTAAAGGTACGATTAAATTGTTTATTTAGTTGCTATAGATGCCTTTATTCCAGCGCAACATTGCATTTTGCATAGTTTAATATGATTTTCTCAAACTTCTTATCAAAGGGTCAGAAGAACACACGTTAGTCGCCTTGTATAAATCTTCTTTTGATCAGGAACACGTTTTGGAAAATGATTCATGAAACTTCTTAGAGTTTTTTATTTTGAGCTTCTTGTGCCTCTTTACTGAGCATGTCATAAAACAAAGTCCTTCTCTTTATAACTTGCCAACCATGAATAAGAATGTGATGCAAACAATGTGACATATGATACCAAGCGTATAGATTTTCAACTGTTTTGAAGCAGTATTCTCTAAATAGTGAAAAATCAATCAATAACTAGATGGCTATGTACCTAAAATAACTTGTAACATCTTTATTATACTGACATCGAGATCAAGAGTTTGAGCAATGTTTTTCTGCTTTCTAACGAAGTCTTCTAGCTGTGTTTCCATGGTTTCATAACATTAGCATACCAATTACCAGTCCAACGGACTTTAACATATCAATTATAATTATTATTGCATAATTCTAATAGAAATTAGCATATCAATTACCAGTCTAACTTCATCACGAAATCTTATTTGAATTTTCTGTTTTTGTCCTTGGATAATTTTTTTTTTAATGGTGTCCTTGTAGACCACTTTTTCACTACTAATTTATAATTAATTTTTAGACATTCCATGCTTTTATTCAAAGCATGGAAAGTTAAAAGACTAAAGCATAGATTTATTCTTGTCAATGACATATTTTTAGCTGCATTAAGATCATTTTCTTACTTAATTGTTTTTTTTTTTTTTTTGCAAAAGCTTTACTTGAAATGATTTTTTGCTGAGAATATATTCTTTTATAATTTAATTCAATTTATTTTGAGGTCCCCAATACATCTTATTAAAAATTGTTTGAAAAAAAATTTTTAGACATGGATTTTTACAGTTTTGTCGACCTATTGGCCCACTGTGCATTGATATCACAGGATTCACCATCTTTAAATTTATTATGAAAATCGAAACAACTTTTTTTTATTTCTTCATCTTCCATATCAATAAATTTGTAGAGAAATCCAAAACATTGTTCAAAATTTGACAAAGTTTTTAAACAAGTGGTAAGAGATGAAATAGCTGAATCTATTATTACATAAAAAAAATGAATTTGAAAATTTTCTTTAGGAGTAAATTGAATATCTTTTTCTCCTTCATAGCTAAACTGTTTTCGGTGACGTCGGCGACGTACACTAATTTCAGCAAAGAAATCCGATTCTGTTTCAACTGCTTTACAAATTTCATTAGAAATATTCAAATAATTTTCGAAACATTAATTATTTCTAATGCTTTTGATAAACTTCTAAACTTCCATGATTGATTAAGCACATAAATTGGTATTCCAAGAAACTTTCTGCATTATTTTTACTAATGAGATCTACCTTTTCCAAGATTTCGTACCATGTTATTATTAAACAAATAAAGTTATAAGATTTAATTTTCATTGCCATTCAGTTCATTCATTGCCAAACAAACATTCAGCCTCATGTCAAACTGTTGGCGTTTAACATTCTTCAGCTATTTCTATAAGGATATCGTAAATTTCACCTATTTGCAGTGTTTAATCGTGTTAGTTCTTCCTTCCCGCCGAGATTCACTAACCTGTTTCAATATTAAAGATTTTACATTTTTCTTTAAAACTTGCCAATTAAATGATGAAACATTGAAAAAATTATATATTGCTGATACAGTTCTAATAAAATACACCGTTGGAAACGAAACTTTAGCTGCATCATTAATCGCCAAATTTAATCTATGCGCGTTGCATGGCATCAATAAAGCTTTTTAATATTTAGTTTAAGATTCTCCAGTACTTTTTTTAGCTTGATAAAAACCAATGAAATTTTCTTTTACTTCAATTTTATTATTTACAGTATGTACATATCTGAAAATCATTGCAATTTGCTCGACATGTCCAGCATCCGGCGTAGAGTCTAAAATGACTGAAAAATATTTTGCTTCTTTTAATGATGTCAATATATACTTTTGAATTTGCTTTGCAAGGGTAGTGATTATTTCATTTTGAAAGCAATTTCCCAAGTAATGTGGCATGTGGTTCTTTAAAGCAATTGATTTTTGTACGTGTATTATGTGGTCTGCCATTATATCACAAATTTTCCTATCATTTTAATTGCTTTTAAAAAATTTCCATAATTTTTTTTTGTACAATTTGCTGGAAGAACCTCTAAAAGCTAAACAAAGCTAAAAGGTAAACAAATAGTGAACAAAAGCTAGTAAAAGTAACTAGCTTTAATTAGCTAATAAGCTAATTAAAGCTATTAAGCTAAATAAAACTACAAGCTAAATTGTCCTGCTAGAAATTGTACCACAGATATCATGCGTGAGACCATTTGACACCATCGTTTTCCCTCGGCATCATAATGCCGTTGCATATTATTATCAATTGTAGCTTTTTTTTAAATTTAATTCATAATCTTTCTAACGAGTGCAGTTTTCGATGTG